AAATACTACACAGCACCCCTCCCAGATCTTAGCTCACTTCACTGTTGCCAGAACTTTATAATTGTTGTGGTTAACTCTAGTCTCTCACACATTACACCTATTTTCTATTCTTTACTCTTGCTGTACCTCATGATCTGATCTCCCACAAGCTCACTGCTTTCTAGATCCAACTTACAATTCACTTCCACCCCTAATAAGAGCCTTATGTTTTTTCCACACTTTCTAAAACGTGGCTATTTGGATGAAATATCACAGTTAACACTATACACATCCAAAGGATCTCCTGTCTCTTCTCTATGGGTTGGTACTTTACATAACATAGAATACACTTCCACTGTCTTAATCTATTTTTCCTGCCCCTCCAACAGATCATTAAAAAAAGAGTACATTGGAGCTGTGAGCACCAGGATACCTGCTGGAAGAAGAAACCCACCAAGAAAGAAACCACCAACAGATAACAACAGAAGAAGGTGAAGGGGAGAGTAGAAGCCACACTTACCTCCACCCAGGACCAATCTTGAAATACAACCAAATTGTTGAGAAATTACCCAGAACGTATAATGAACAATAGGGATAGAGAAGCCTCAAAACCTCATACAGACAGAAGAACCAACTTCAACACAATCTGTCCACACCTGCCCAACAGAATACAAGAGGTGGTGGATGGAGTGACTCTCAGTTAACCAGCTGGAGGGAAGGACCCACCAAAGAAAGACCCAACAGCAATCAAAACACAAGGACATACACAGAGACAACATAGATGACAGCCCAAGACCAGTGAGCAGGAGACTAAGAAGACATATCTTCTACTATAGAAGTTCACACTATAAACCCAGAGAGTCAAAACAGATCAATTTAAGAAGCAGAGGCTAATGAGAAGAGTCTCACAAACAATGAGAAAACAAAGAAACAATTCCCAAATGAAAAGAAAGGAGGAAGTCTCAGAAAGAATGCTAAATGAAATAGAGGCAAATCCACTATCAGATATAGAGTTCAAAGCAATTGAACTTTATAGTTATCAGGAAAAAATTATAAGGAAGCTCAATGAGCTCACAGAGAATTACCAAAAACTACAGGGAAACTAAAAATGAAAGCTATATCAACATGAAAAAGAAAATAGGAACTATCAACAAGGACCAAGAGAAAATAAAGAATACAATTTTTTAATTGAAGAACACAGTGGAAGGAATCAAAAGCAGTATAGATGAAGCAGAGGATCAGATCAGCAAGTTGGAAACAAGGTATGAAGAAACACCCAGAAAGAGCAAGACAAGGAAAAAGGCTCAGAATGAATGAAGAGGTGTTAAGGGAACTGCAAGAGAACATGAAATGTAATAATATTTGTATAATAGGGATACCAGAAGGAGAAGAAGAAGACAAAGGGATTTAAAACCTGTTTCAGAAAGTAATGATGGAAAACTCCCATAATTTGGTGAGAGAAAAAGTCACACAAATCCAGGAAACACAGAAAGTCCCAATCAAGAGGAACCCAAAGAGGTCCACTTCAAGCCACTCCTAATTAAAATGGATAAATTCCAAGACAAAGAGAGAATCCTAAAGGCAGCAAGGGAAAAACAGGAAGTAACATAGAAGAGAGCTCCAATAAGGTTAGCAGCTGACTTCTCAATGGAAATGCTCAAAGCTAGAAGGGAAGTACAAGAAATATTCCAAGTAATGAAAATCAAGCACCTTCAATTGAGACTACTCTATCCAGCAAGGCTTTCGATTAAAATGACAGGCCAAATAAAGAGCTTCCCAGACAAAAGAAGCCTCAAAGAATATACCTCCTCCAAACCAGCTCTGTAAGACACACTATAGGATTTGTTTGAAGAATAGGAAGAAAAATAGTGAAAGAGAGAGAGGAACATGGGTAAAAAAAGGGCAATGAATAAGTATCTATCAATAATAACTGTGAATGTAAATGGATTACATGCCTCAATCAAAAGACATAGAATAGCTGATTGGATAAGAAAACATGGCCCTGAAATTTAGAACAGGCTGACAGTGACCAGAGGAGAGTAGGGAGGGAATTTCAAGGGAAAAATGGAAGGCTTCACAGGAACAAGTATAAAGGACACACAGACATTAACAAGGGGTGGGTAGAAATGAGAGGGAGGTGGGGAGGGTTGGGGGTGGGCTAGGATGGAGGTAAAAGTCAGAAAACTGTACTTGAACAAAAATTAAAATTAAAAAAAGTAAAAGAAAACATGACCCACACATATGCTGCCTATAAGAAACTCACCTCAGAGCAAAAGACTTACACAGTCTGAAAGTGAAGGGCTGGAAACAAATATTCCAAAGAAATGGACAGGAAAAAAATTTATGTAGCAATACTCATATCAGACAAAATAAACTTCAAAAGAGAGCAATAAAAAGCGACCCAGAAGGTCACTTCATAATACTCAAGGGAAGAATCGATCAAGAAGACATAAACATTGTTAATATATATGCACCCAACATAGAAGCACCCAAATACATAAATGAAAATCTTAGAGGACTTCAAGAAATATATTGACATCAACAAATTATACTATGAAATTTAAAACACCCCACTGTTAAAAATAGATAGATCTTCCAAACAAAATATCAACAAAGATATTGTGGCACTGAATAATGACCTAGATGAAATGGACTTAACTGATGTATATAGAGTCACTCATCCCAAAGAAGAAAAATACATATCCTTTTCAAATGCACATGGAACATTTCAAAGATAGACCACATGACAAGACAGAAATAAAGCCTCAAAAAATTGAAGAAAAATGAAATCACATCATGCCTTTTCTATGACCACAAGGGATTAAAACTAGAAACCAACCTCAAGGAAAAAACTCCAAAACACTCAAACTCATGAAGATTGAATATGATGTTATTAAATAATGAATGGGTTAAAATGAGAAAAAGAAAGAAAATAAGTGTTTCCAGAAACAAATGAAATGAACAAACAACAATCCAAAACTTATGGGACACAGCAAAAACAGCCCTTAGAAAGAAGTTCATAGCAATACAAGCCTACCAAAAAATATAGAAACATTTAAACTAACCCAATACGTACATGAACTCAAAGAACAACACAAAGACAGCCCAAAGCAAGAAGAAGAAAGGAAATAACCAAGACCAGAGAATTAAATGACATAGAGACTAAATCATAATTCTAAGGATCAATAAATCCAGGAGTTTATTCTTGGAAAAAAAAATGACAAGACTTTAAGCAGACTCATCAATGAAACAGAGAGAGGACACAAAAAACAACAACAAAAAACCACAATCATAAATGAAAGAGGAGACATTACAACTAATATCACAGAGATACAAAGGATCCTGTGAAATTACTATGATGAACTATATACCAAGAAATTTAAAAACCTAGGTTTAAATTTTTTGAAAAATATAATCTTCCAAAACTGAATGAAGAAGAACAGAAAGCCTGAAAGACCAATAACAGCTGACAAAATTGAAGTGGTAATCAAAAAGCTTATGACACACTAAAGCCCTGGACAAGATGGTTTCACAGGAGAATTGTACAGAGCATTTAAGGAAGAGCCAACGCCCATCCTTTACCAACTCTTCCAAAAAATTCAAGAAGATGGAAGACTCCCAAACTTTTTTTATGAAGCCAGCATCATCTTCATCACAAAAGCAGATAAAGACACAACAAAGAAAGAAAACCTCAGACCAATATCACTAATGAACATGGATGCTAAAATCCTCAACAAAATAATGGCAAACAACATCCAGAAATACATTAAAAAGATCATACACGATGATCAAGTGGGATTCATCCCAGGGATGCAAGTATGGTACAATATTTACAAATCAGTAAATGTAATACATCACATAAACACAAACAAAGACAAAAACCACATGATCATATCAATGGACACGGAAAAAGCTTTTGATAAGGTACACCACCCATTTATGATAAAAACACTCAGCAAAGTGGTAATAGTGGGAGAATTCCTTAAAATAATAAAGGTCACATATGAGAGACCTACATCCAACATCATACTCAATATGCAAGAACTTAGAGCTTCCCCACTAAATCAGAAACAAGATAAGGATGCCCACTTTCATTACTCCTATTCAACATAGTATTGGAAGTCTTAGCCACAGCAATCAGAGAAGAAAAAGAAATAAAAGCCATCTTAATTGGAAAGGAAGAAGCAAAGTTGTCATTGTTTGCATGAACATGATAATGTACCTAGAAAATCTTACAGACTCCACAAAAAAAAACACTGCTCGACCTAACAAGTGAATTTGGCAAAATAGCGGTATACAAAGTCAATATTCAGAAATCAAGGCACTTTTGTACATCAAAATGAAATATCAGAAACAGAAATCAGAAAAATTCCAATTTGATATAGCAACAAGAAAAACAATGTACCTAGTAATAAACCCAACCAAGAAGATAAAATGCCACTACTCAGAAAACTATACAACACTGAAGAAAGAAATTAAGGAAGACACAAACAAATGGAAGTATCATGCTCATGGATTGGAAGAATAACATCACTGAAATGTCCATAATACCCAAAGCCATTTATAGATTCAATGCAATCTTTATTAAAGTACCCCTGACATACTTCACAGGTACAGAACAAACATTTCAGAAATTTCATTTCAGAAATTTATATGGAACTATAAACAACCCTGAATAGCTGCAGCAATTTTAAGAAAGAAGAACAAAGTAGGAGGGATCACAATACCAGATATCAAACTGTATTGCAAGGCAACTGTAATCAAAACAGCCTTGTACTGGCATAAGAACAGACACATGGACCAATGGAACAGAACAGAGAGCCCAGAAATCAACCCAAGTCTCTATGGTCAATTAATATTTTACAAATAGAGAAGAAGCATAAAATGGAATAAAGATAGCTTCTTCAACAGATGGTGTTGGGAGATCTGGACAGCTACATGCAAAAAATTGAAACTTGATCACCAACTTACACCATACACAAAAATAAATTCAAGGTGGATAAAGGACTTAAATATTAGTCATCACTTCTTGGCCTTTTGGCTAAGATCAAGTGTAGTATCTGTTCTTATCAGTTTAATATTAGTCATGACACCATAAAAGACCTAGAAGAAAACATTGGCAGGAAAATCTCAGACATTCCATGCAGCAATATTTTCACTGATATGTCCCCTAAAGCAAGAGACATAAAGGAAAGAATAAACAAATGGGACCTCATCAAATTAAAAATTGTCTGCATGGCTAAAGAAAACAGCATTAAAATGAAAAAAAAACTATATGGGAAAACACATTTGCCAATGACACCTTGGACAAAGGATTGATCTCCAAAATATATGAAGAACTCACAGACTTCACTCCAGGAAGACAAACCCTTAATTACAAAGTGGGCAAAAGACTTGTACAGACACTTCTCTAAGGAGGACATAGAGAGGGCCAAGAGGCATACAAAAAGATATTCAGCCACAGAGAAATGCCATCACTAGCCATCAAAGAAATGAACATTAAAACCATAATGAGCTAGCACTTCCCACAGGTCAGAACAGCCATCATAAACAAATCAACAAACTAGCATTAGAGAGGATGTGGAGAAAAGGCAACTCTAGTGCACTTTTGGTGGAAATGCAGACTGGGGCAGCCACTGTGGAAAACAATACAGAATTTCCTTAGAAAACTGAAAGTGAAACTGCTTTTAACCCAACAATTCCACTGCTGGGATTATACCCTAAGAATCCTGAAACACTAATTCAAAAGAACCTATGCACCCCAATGTTCATAGCAGCATAATTTACAATAGTAAAATACTGGAAGCAACCTAAGTGCTCATCAGTATATGAATGGATCAGAAAATGACGGTACATTTATCAATGGAATTCTACAAAGCAGAGAGGAAGAAGGAGCTCCTACCCTTTGCAATAGAATGGATGAAATTAGAGAGCATTATGCTAAGTGAAATAAGCGAGGCAGTGAGGGACAAATACCATATGGTCTCACCCTTAATTGGAACCTAATCAACAAAAGAAAAAAGCAAGCAAAATATAACCAGAGACACTGAAAGTAAGATCAATCTGTCAGTAACCAGGGGGGAAATGGGAGGGGATAATGGGGGGAAAGGGTTTTCAGAAACATCTATAAAAGACACAAAAATGAGGGACAAAAATGAGGCGGAGGAAGAGAATTTGGCTGGGGTGGGGGTAGTAGTGGAGCGTAAGTGCAGACAACTGTAATTAAACAACAATAAAAAAAGAAAAATTGAAGGTACTAGATAAACTTTAGTTATAAACGATGTTAATAGATTCTGAAAGGCACCAACTTTATTTAACAAATACCTCCTATTGATTTCAGGAATAACGAAATTATTATTAAAAGGTAGAGTCTCCTTGCCTTTCCCAAAACAAAGGGCAGTATTAAAATCTGATTTATAAAACAGTACTGAAAAGAAATAAATATTTTTTTTATAATCTATTGACCTTGGTGTTTGATTTGCCATTTGAGTAAAATGGGCTTAGGTAGAGTGAGAAGAGGGCAATAAAGGATCTACCTTTTTAAGTGTTGAGTCCTACAATGTGAAGTGTTTCAGAGTGTTATACAAAAATTATGTCTACTAGTAGGATACCAAATGTCCTTTCATCCCTTTTTATACACACATGTGCACACACACACCATAATGCTTCAGAATCTTCAGTTAGCATCCATGTCTGTACCTAGGAACTTGTTTTATTACATTTTCCATAAATATTTACTATGGTTCTTGAATATATTAGGCAAATAAACTATAAAAAATTAGATATATATTTTTATTTTCTGATACCCCAGATTAAGAATTTCAGTTTATGTTATCAAGACAAGCACTTAATTTTTTTTTCAGTCACTGTGTAGAAATGTTGGCCAGGCTCAACCAAATCATCTTGATAGATACTGCTCAAGTCAAATTTCCTAAGACCATTGGTTTCCTCAACAAAAAGGGTGTATGTTTTTGACAAATGTATGTCATTTTAACCCTTTCTAGAATCCCTCATTTTGTGTCTTTTCCATTTTCCCCTATATTTTGGCCCTTAATTTTTAGATGGACACCCCTAGCTCTTCTGGAAGCATAGTCTAGCCCAACAGTCATGGGAACAATACCTTTGGAAACACTATTATTTATTTCTCTCTAATCTTCCAACTATTTTGGAGGGCTAGGAGTAGGGAACCCAAGTATATAAGACTGTAGACCACAAATCTTCTTTGGATTAATTCTTATATATAGAAATATGAAGGACCACTTTAATCAATCCTCTCTTTAAACAAGTTGCATGTAACTAAATGGTTTATGTTGCTTTCTTCAACAGACTTTTGTTATTTAAAGCCCATTTCAATTTTTGAATCTTCTTCTTACCTATCAAAAATACTGAATTGAGTCATATACTAAAATATTTTTTCAGCTATGTTTTTGCTTCTGTATTTGAAGCATACTTAAGTAAACAACAACTCAATGAACATCTTATTTTCCTATGTTCAAAATAACTGATTTTCTTACTATAGCTGTTATTAATTTTATCTAAAAACAACCACTAACAATTACCATTTATCTACTTGGAGAAAGACAATGAGATTAAGGTTTAGAAAATGAACAAATGTCAGGCAAGTCTAAGTTTGAAACCCAAACCTATTATTAAAACCTTTGTGTTTTCATAATGTTACTTTATTATCTGGAACCTGTGTCTTTGGATAGAAAATAATCATACAATCTACAATTTGTGAGAAGACAGCAAAACTGAAGCCCAGAATCATGCTAGTAAACAACTAGGTGGAACAAAATAATAAAATAAAATAGAACAAAATAAATACCCTAGGAGTAAAATTTGCTGACAAAGGAAATTCTTTAATTCCATTGACTGCAGAAAATGAGAAGAAAAGAAAAAGAATAGTAGACAAGTCAATGGAGCACAAGTAGAGATGAGCAAAAGGGTATCTGCAGGGTCTGATATAGAAAATTTAACAAATAACCTTTTAAAAAGTATTCAATGTTGTAATGCAGAAAACATTTTCCTACCATGTAAGAAGAACTATCATGTTATTTTTTAACATGATAAAAATTATATGTTGACCTAAAATACTATTTCCATTTGTGTGTGTGAATTTTTAAATTGTTCTTTATCTTCTTGGGCACAATTTGGGATAATTTTCCTATACATACTTCAAGAATGTATTTATCATTTTATAATAAAAATTATTGCAAACATTTTAATATATTTTAATGTAATAGTAGAAGTTATTTGGTGAAGTATTCATTTTATTATAAGTATTCTCACCTAGACTCTAAAAGCACCAAATTAATTAGAAGTGAAATGAATAAAAAAATAAAGATTTTGGATTATTTGTGGTTATTTACACACACACAAACACACTCACTAAGATCCTTTCTCAGCTAGGGATTTATAATTGTTGTGACTTTTCCACAATTTTGCTGATATATGCTTAAAGCCAAATATATGCTTAGAACCCAGAATGGGTGGGTGTTGTATACTTTTCTATTCTACTAAATGGTGAGATATTGGAGGAAAGATATATTATTTGTGTATCCTGAAAACTCCGTACAATGTCTATAGAAAGACTCATCAGTCAGTAATATTTTTAAAGAATAAAAAATTAAAATGGGCACTATTAACAAGGAAACAGAGAGATGAGTAAAAAAGATAAAAATGATATACTTTTAAATAGAAGTGCTACTTTAAAATACTCAGAAAAGTAGGTGATGACTTCAGCTCAGAACATAGTCTTGAATATGCCTAGTACACCCATTCATTGTTCAACTCTGCAATTAAATGTCACCTGCTCAATAAATATTTTGAATATGACCAATTTTCTGTAATGTGCTAGGTGAGAAAATTGTTTTCTAAGGGGGAAGGAAACTTATGGAAAACTTTTTACATTTTAAGAAGTACATTATTCTATGTAACACACTCCACTTACATATTTGAAAAAAGTAGAATGAAGCATTGTAGAATTTTTCATAAACAAAGAACTGAAAGCATTAGAATTTTCATTCCTTTTCCCTGATCCAGTGGTCACTCTGGTAGAAGTTTTTGTTTTTGCTTGTTGAAGAACTTATTTCCCCTCCCTTGAAAGGTTTAAAAGAAGAAATGAAAAACAACAAAAAACTTTAGCTATTCAATAGTTCCTCAATAGTGAAGGGCAGAAAAAAAGTATAAAGGGAAGTGAAAATAAAGAGAAGAATAAAAAAGAGGAAGAGAAAATAAAGAGAAGAATTCATCTCAAATTAAAGACTTTTTGGAATAAAAATTTTTCTGAATAGGTACTCCTTTTTTATATGAACTATAAAAAATGCATCATATTGAGGGGACCACGTGGCCTAATCAATAAAAATGCATCATATAAACTGAAGGGAGAATTAAATGTTTAAGTACAAACTTTTATTCAATTGGAGCACTTTCTTCCTATAATCAATCAAATGTCAAGTGCGGGTGACTGATGATGACATATCCCTTATTTCTTCTTCCAATGTCCTACTAAGAAAGAACCTTGGCTTAAATGTAAGGAAGGCAATGTATTCCCCACAAAGTCACCCTGAGTTCAGCACATCTCTCAAAGTTAAGTCATTTATGGACAGAGGACTGGGCCCTGAGCAGGTCTGCCTAGGGCCAGCTGGTAGTATGAGGGTTCTTGACGTCATGCAGGAAAGATTTCACAACCCCAGTCCAAGTGACTTTGAGAATGTTGTTTTTTAGCATAAAACAAGGGTATGTTTATTAAAGCAATAAAGCAAAGACGGGCTTAGCATAGAAGAAGCAACAGGAAAGACCAAAATTGGGCTGTTGGGCTGCTTTAGCTCCCTAGGAAGTCAGAGAAAAGGGCACCTTGGAGATTCAAAGGGTTAGCCCCAGATGAGCCATTGATGCCAACTGCTACCCTGGTTGCAAGTCTGATGGAGTCCTCTAGAGTTTAGGAGATGTGTTCCTGTAGGCAGGAGAAGGAAAATCAAAAGAGAAAGGCACGAGCATGTTCCTCAGAGGAAGGACTGGGGCGTGGACTTAGATGAGGTCGTGAAGATGGGACCCCATGGCAGGGCTCTTCTTGTAAGTGCCATTATTTTAAAGAGAAGATACTCTGGGCCATTTTTCTTGTGGGTTTTTCTCTTTCTTGCAGGCAGGAATTTTAGGGTAGGTCTCAGGAGAGGGTTTCAGCAGAATATTCATCAGTTTTCTAGGTGTGCCCTTT